AGCTATTTCATAGGATGACACCAGTCTCATAGGACGGGATGGAGCCTGGACAGGACCTTGTTGTTGAAGGAGAAAGCAAAGTCAATGTTGGGAATCTACTTCAGTTTCTAAATCTTGGTCTTTCAGTCACGCAGGTGAGCACAGAGCATTTATCCCCCACAAAACTCCTCTTCTTCATCCACTGAGAATTCCAAATTGTTCTTTCGACTTATTTGTTTTAGATGTTGTTTTCTGGGTTGCTACGCGTACGTATCACGATGTAATGAATTAGAAATGACTGACACTTTTATTAATACTTAAGATGGGCAACTACTGAAAAACTCTAAATAGAAAATTAAGATGATGCACCCAGGTGCTCCTTCCATGTGTTCCAGCATCCCAAAGATGGTGCTAAGCTGGGTGGAACCGTGATGAGGTTAAAGCAGCACAGTAACCTGTGCTCTGCTCAGACCCGATCCCAAAGCACTCACTTTCCAAACTGGTCTTCAGCCTCACTCCCCAGGACTCCTCCTTGAACAAGCACTGACCCCAGTCACCTTGTGGTGAGGCCACCAAATGCCACTGGTCAGCGGCACTCAAAAATAAATGAGAGCAACGCAGGCCCATGATTCACACTCTGCTCTCATTGTTATTTCCAGCACTTGATCCAACAGGGAATTTAAAGAAGTTTTTGAGCATGTCGTGTCAGATGCTTCACTAAGGAAGTGTTACCAAAAGGGAGCTGATGAAGCACAGTTACTGTCGTGTCAGGGTAAGTTCTGCAGCTGGCAAACAGGGATAAATCACAGGACACAGTGTGCACCTGTACAGTTTCAGTGGAATTTGGTCAAGAAAATAGAAGCATTTCACCCAGAAACATCAGAGGTCACATTTTGTCTACATTAAATCTAGTGTATAATCAATTAACATTTATATGCCAGATATGTACTGAGTAATGCACAAAGTAAGGATTGTTTTTACCCCTAAATCCTGTGAAAGCTTCTGTAATCCCCTACCATCTTCAGCCATGACTGACCTTGTATGCTGACATCAGAGCACCTGTAGTTTTTGCTATAAGCAAGTCAAGCATCAAAACATCACATCAAAGAACGTGGCAATCTTCTGACTCACAGCGAAAGCCAACTGACAAATTTTAGCCTTGGTTTAGTCTGTTACAGTAAGTTTTATTTAACAGGAATTACAGATTGTCTTCCCTCAAAAGGAAGATGTTTTTATGGTGTTGATTGACCACAAATTAAGTCTGCCCAGTCCTTCCCAACGTAAAACTTCAAAGGTGTTCAGCTCCAGCTCTGTCCCCAGCCTTTGGGGGCAGTGAATCGAAGAGCACAATGCCTGTGCCACACTCAACAGAAGTGGTGTTTTGTCTTTGAGCAGACTAACAGCAACAAAAAAGCCTCCCTATTTTCACATTCGTGTTCTGAATGAACATGAAAGGAAGGAAAGCTTTTCCTGAAAGAACCTGGAGTTACTGTGGCAGGCCGCAAAAAGAAAAAGCTCCAAGAACCCAGGGTCCAAACCAAACTCAAGGCTGAAGTTAAGGGTTAACATGTTAACTAGGAAGATGTACAAAAATAAATTACGATAAAAGTTGTGAAAACCATGCCATCTTTGCCAATGGCTATAGTGTTTTGCTATGTTACACCCAAGTCATCTCAACAGGGAGCTATGCACTTGATTTTTATGGAGTCTACAGAAACAGTTAAAAAAAGAAAGATTAAGAATATTAATGGTTCCCAAGCGCTGAAATAGCAGCCAGCATTCCCTGCATACCGGTTTCAGGGATGACTGCTAACTGAATGATCCCTGCAGCAGAGGGAGGTCACTGTCTTGAAGACACACGCTTGCACTGCCCCATGACAGAGCTGCCAGCACCTCCCCAGCTATCGCTGCCCCTGCCCTTCTACCTTGCCTTTCACAGCACCAGACAGATGCTGCTGCAGCACGAATCACAGAATATCAGGAGCTGGAAGGGACCTCGGAAGATCATCCAGTCCAACCCCGACGACCTCACCAGACAGCTGCTCAACCTTGTTTTACACATAGGGTGGTGAAACACTGGAACAGGTTAGAGAGGTGGTAGAGGCCCTGTCCCTGGAAACACTCAACATCCGGACAGGGCTCTGAGCACCCTGATCTGGTTGAGGATGTCCCTGTGCAGCAGGGTCGGACTGGATGACCTCTAAAGGTCCCTTCCAACACAAACCAGTCTATGGTCAACACTTACTTGAATCTATACCCTTAAAAAGGTTGTCTTCCTGCTAGCTCAGGAGACAGCCACCCTATTCAGATTAAGAGTCAATCCATTTTAATTCTCTCCTGACACCTAAATCATAGGGGTAGGGCTGACTGCTGAAAAGCAAGGGACCTTGATCAAGAAACAATGGATAAACAGAAAGTGTGGGGTTTCCTTGCACTCCAGTATATCCATGTGCACTCCTAGGATGCCCAGCAGTGGACCCAGCTGCTCAGACAAGACCCTACACCTTATCCCCTGGCTTGGCATCTCACTCTCAGGAGCTCTTGCAGTGCACAGCACAGGAAATGCCTGCGTGCTGTTTCCCAGAGCAGATTGCTCCACTGGATCACTTGGTGTCACCCAGCCACAACAGCCGACATCCGTGGAAGTTTGATATCAACCATGCAATATTCTCAGCCTCAAATTATGTACATATAGAGCCATGGCTGAGCTGCCACGGGGAAACAGCCATTGCAAACAGATTTCAAAGCTCTTCCTCAGAAATCTGTGAAAATCACAGCCTGGGTTATCACAGAGAGTTGTGGAATTGGGTAACTACAGTGACCAGCTGGGAGATTAAAAGACAAGAACTGATTCTCTGTATCAGAGCTGCAGAGAGCAAAGCTGGGACACGCAGCCTTTTTACTCGGGAGAAAGATGGAAATTCACTTCAAAACTAGAAGAACAAATTCCTGCTAGACCTGGACTCTCCTCTGAGTTAAATCCAAGACAGAAGTTTTCACTCATTTTTTGAAAGGTAACATTGTGCTTTTAACCCACCTGAAAAGCTATTTTGCCATCGTGATTTCTAGTAGCCATCCTGTAATTCAGAATTGTTTGCTTGATGTTAGAAGTCACGCTAGGAAATACTGGAGAACGAGTCCTTTGAACGATTAGCAGGCTTACTGAAAACTCATCTTGGCTTTTCAGAAATAACAGCTCTGCTAAGCTTTGCTACTTAAAAAACTTAGCACAAGTCTGAAGAGTTGTTTGAAAATGCACCAACAAAGAGTACCAAGCACCAGCAAACAGAGTTAAGGAAAACACATGCAATGCAGCTTATGGATTTACGCCACTTGTCAGCAGTTTTAAGAGCACCCAGAACAGCTTTTTTATAGCAATCTTTTAGATTCAGAAGGAAACACAAGAAATACTGCACATTTCTGGCATTATTAAAAGGCGCATCCTTAATTATTGTTTATTTAACTCAAGTATCCAAGTGCAGCGTAACAGGAAGTGAATACGTGCTCACCTTGGCCAAGAACCACCATGTCACTCTTCAGCGTTTTCAAGACCACGAACAACGTTGGATACTCAATTATGATTTTGCCTTTCAAATTGTCCAGGAGGCTTTTACTGGCATCCAGTTCATTGTACCTTAAAAAGAACAGGGAAGTTGATTTTGGATTTCAACACCACCAAGGACATAACGTACACCTTCTGCAGGGACAGAAACAAGGTGGCTTCCTGGCAATCCACGGGACTTTCGGGTGATACCATGTGCAGAAGGACTCTCCCATGATCCAGATTACATACATGTAGTTGGGTAATAAAACTGGATTTTTTTTAAACCCTCCTGAGATCTAAGCATAGGAATATGAGAAGAATCACAGTAAAACTTCTCTAAGGTCTGACATGCTTTATGAGTTCTCAATATCTTTATGAAAATCAGATATGGACGCAGGGCTATCAAAACGGGTATGTTTATGAAAATCAGATTCTAAATGGAAAACAGCACATAAAGTTCCTCGTATGGGCTTAGTAGAATACCTTATTTATCACGTTTCCTTATGAGTTTTCATTGAGGTACTGGGAAGATGGAACAAAAAGTGTATCTGAACAGCTGCAAAGGTACCTTGGAAACACCCGGAGCTCTGTTTCTGTGGAAATAAGGGCTCTGACAGCCAGAACACGGCAGCAGTAATTTCTAAGAGATGGTACACTGTCCTCATTTATGCCTAAGCAAGTCTCTGCATACAGCACCACCTGCAAGGACCCCTGCAGAAACCCCTACAAGGGGCGCAGTTCGGGTGCATGCTCCTCTCCCAGAAGAGGGCTCCTCCTCACCCTGGGGGTAAAGCCAGCTACAGAACACATGATGAGAATGAACCGAGCATCTTCTCCACAATTATTGCCTAGAACTGCAATATCGCCTCCCAAGTCTCTAACTGGAAACCTGGACGTGGGATTCGGGGGAAAAGACGGGACACTTCAAAGCCCTCCGTAAGAGAAACCCCGTTCCCTTCACTTGCCCTAACTGCAGCATGCAGCAGATGCTCTGATATTATTACCCTGCAATCCGAGTTATGCAATTCTTTCTGTAATCAGCATTATTAAATTACTACTGAGCTATTGTATCAGCTAAAGGCAAATGAAGTTCAAAACCAAAATACACTGTGGGCATTAAGGGGAGCATTTCCCATAGCTGCTCTGCCTTCTCTGGTCACTAATGTATTACGCAGCTGGGTCTTCTTCTGCCAAAAACAACACTGGACGGGTGAAGGAAATTATATCCTTCATTATTTACAGAAACGGGCGATTAAGAACAGTGCATCAGAGGAGCCAGCACACAAGAATATTGAAGGTAAAACAGGATCTGAGTTCTTGGGATTTAAAGGAAACTTAGGCTGAGCAAAAACTATTTCTCTCTCATATTCAACTTCAATCATCACAAAAATATTTGGTTTCAAGTTTCTCTCGACCCAAAGTAATTATGACCTCTTTTTTACTGAAACCCTTTAAAAGGGATAACAGTATATTACATTTCCTATTGAATGAATGCATTCATAACTTGTGGATTAACACACATGAACAGAAACATATTTACTGCTTTATTTACGGTACTCTAAATGCAAAGTATGGCAATACCTTTCCCTTGGCAAGGACCTCAACACATTCTTTTCTGGTTAAGCAAACATTTACCACCAAGAGGCTAAAGTAATTCACATGCCACAATACACTTTCCATTATCTCATGGTTTAGACAAAACATCTCTCGCGTCCAGCTTGGCATAAGATAAAACATTTGTACTTAAAACTATTTTATGATAGTAAATTACTGAAGTGTTAGATCACCAACTCAAAGCTTTATCTTTTTTGTTTTTAAAGTAAATCTTATTGGTTGACAGTGATAGAGAAAACATCCAAATTTTTAGTGCATAATGTAGGCTGTAAACTTGAGGGAAGATGTAACAAAGGAGCTTAATGCTCCTCTGTTTCAAACTCTGCTGCAATTGCCTGTGCTATCCAAAATAACTCAGCCTACCGCATTCCCTACTTCATACACAAGTGCAAGTTGAGGTTTTCAGTTCATCCACCTGCCGGTGTCTTCCTTGACCGTGCACGCTTGAAAAACCTCAAGAGAAAACAAACACTCGTCACTCAATTCCAAAGTCCTGCTCAGGACGGCTCCCGAGCAAGGCTGATCCTTCAGGTTCTCTCTTTGTTGTGACAAAAACCTTCCCCATTTTATCCCAGACCTACAACAAAGGGATGCAGAGGGTCAACAACGCAGACCCCTGGCAAAAGCAGACTGCCCTCCAAGGCTTTTCCAGGAGCCTATATACACACAAAATTTCAGGTTTTACTTACTAAAAGGCCAGACCTGTTAGGAGAAAAATGAAATGAAGTGGGATTTCTACAGCTCCTGTAGCTTCCTGCACTGATCATCCCCAGGATGAGCTGAGGATGTAGGAGAACGCTGGAAAATGCAGGTCCTCCCGTGCATTTACAGAGGGGTGGTCTGACCACAGGCAGGAGACGGAGCAGGGAGAACCCCGTAACCAGGCAGTACCAATACTCCTCCATCACCATTGTTACTGCTTGTCCTGTACCACTGCGGCTCCACAGCTCAGTAAGAACCTAAGAGCTGCAACCTTCTCCAGGCGCTTCCTTCACTGCGCATCCCAATCTGCTCAGTAAACGAACGACCATCAGCCCAGGTCTGTCCCTCCACCCCAACAGCCCCACAGCCCAGGGCAGCTGCAGAAACACCCCAACTGAGGCTTGTCTGTGCTATGCCTCCTCCATCCCTGCATTCAGGGGGACCTCTATTTGCACCCCTCTTTCTCAACCTTATTTCCTCACTGCTATTTACCTCCCACTCATTTTCTCTCTCCTGTCCATTCCCCAGCCTCCTTGTCCAACACCCACCATCTAATAATACACTTTCCTCATTATTTTCCTGCCCCAAGCAAGGCTTTCTGCCCATGTCACGAAGCAAGAAATAGGCCTGGATTTCTTCTTAACAAGATGACTCCATTTAGAAGGACCACAAAGAGACAATCTTGGCAGACAGCGGCTTTTGATTTTAGCTGGAATGAAACAACAATAACTGCTTTTTTAAAGGACAAAAACCAATTAAAATTTGCCTGCCGGCGAGCAGTTTAAAAGCCTACAAAAACTGTGACAACTGAGAAAATTTAACAGGATTCAGCCATCCCACAGCACTTCCCATGTAATGTGTTACACTCACTCTACAAATGGCTTCGTTACCTTCCACTGAACACTGAAGCCAATGCGGCTCTGTGCTTCTGAGAGCATCCATGAGCTTCTGCACAGGACAGCAACTGTATCTACGGTTATTCCAGCCCCTTCCAGGAATGCAGCAACCCAGGCCCTGATCTGTCTCCCACGGGCAGGAAAGCCGCGTTAGGTCACCCCCAAACGGAGCCCGTGGCCATCGTCGCAGCACCCAACTCGTCTGCACGGACTCAGACAGCAGGAAATACCCTGCTGAGCAGGTTTTCCTGAATGTCATCCACAGCAGCTTTGATTTCAATAATGGTAACGATGAAAGAAAAATCAGCAATCTGGGATTAAAGATAAATGGTAACCATGCTTCTTCTTTAGTCTTCTAGACACTGAAAAGGGAACAAACAAGTTTTAAACCGTCTAAACAATTGCAAATATTATTAAAATGCGTATTTGTATAATGACATTCATAATTTTCCTGGAAGGGAGACCAACTAAAACTCTCGTGCATATTTTAAGTAAAGATGATTTTTCTTCCTAGAATCAAGTGGAACATCGAGGTATTTACTTGGCATAATTCACATACAATAAATCACGCTATCTATTTTGGGCTTAGTCCTAAAACTCCACAACCAAACTCCTGCTAACTTATGGGAAGAATGAGGATTATTTTTCTTTCTCCCAAACAAAAGAGGGAAGCATTTCCTAGGTATCTGCATTTGCCCAGAAGAGAGTAAAGAGCGGGTGCAGCGTTTAAAGCCTCTCCCAAGCACTCATTCTCAAGTGCTACAGCACTGCAAAGATAATAACTAACAGATGGGCTCTCATTCCTAAGTGGTGAATAACCCCTTCGCGTGGTTATGATTTGGTGAACAGGGAAGCAGTGAAATGCGTTCCTGAATAGGTACGGAGGGGAAGTTACACGGCAGAAAGTAAACACAATGGATTGGAATAAGGCACAATTCTTATATTCGACTTGTCACAGGAATTGTGACGTTCTAAAAATCTGGAACACTGGATTCCGTTTAGTCCAGACGTGTGAAAAAGAATCAGAGAATACAACGAGTGAGAAAGCAGAGACCTTAGGAACAAAAAGAGGAAGTGACTTGCCATGACGCTTCCTCTGCACCAATTCTTATCAACCAATTCTTATCTGAACAACATGAAAGACTATTCTGCCCGAACACCTTTAGGGAAGGGGCACCGGAGCAAAGTTCCAGTTAAATATTGCAGTATGAAAAAAAATGATCCTACATTTTACACGAATACTTTAAAAGCTGGTAGCTCCTCGTTCCACTCTCGGTCCATGGCTTCCCTCCCAGCCCAGGACCTCCATAATTTGCCTTAACAAATGTTCAGCAGCTCTCCTCCACACTGCCAACACCTGCATAGCCGAGCCTATTCCAGTACAGACCAGATACCTGGCCAATCCATTTTCAAGCCAGATCCCCATCTTGAGTAACACTTTCATCACAGATGTCCTTCTTCTAAAAATAAAAAAGAGGAAAATTAGGACTAGAAATCCTCTCTTACCAATCATTTGGCCCACAGGTCCTGCTAGGAACCAACTTAAATAGCACAGGAAGAAAAGCTGCCCACGTACCAGGAAAGAATCTCAGACTTCATCACCACCTCCTAACCGTACCTGCATGCACAGAATACGTAAAGGTGCTTCCAAACAACAAGAAAATCATGAAGCTGTTCCTTTTCCTTGCTGTATTTTGGCCTCAGGTCATCCTCAAAGACTGTATTAAGACAAGTAATCCATCGTCTCCTCTCTTTTATGGGCTGTAAGAGGCCCTGCCACTAGGGAAACCTAAGAACTGCTGAAAACTAAGGTATAAAATAGGAAAAAACCCCAAAAAATCCACAAAAAGCTTCTCACTGACATATTTCAGGGAGTTA